AAAAAAAAAAAAAAAGTGGAGCTGGGTTCTGGGTTCCGTTGAACCCAGCAGATCTAGGTTCGATGGAACCCATTTGTTGGGTTTGCTGGAACCCAGCACTAGGTTCTGTCAAACCCATCAATTGGGTTCAATGGCCTGGCCCGAGGAAGAAGAGGAAGAAAGAAGAGAAAGGAAGAAGACAGAATTTTTTTATTTTTTTTTTAAATATAAATAATAATCATGTGAGTTGGCATGAAAAAAAAAATCCACATCATGAAAAAAAAATCCACATCAACACGTTTTCAATTTGTTTTTGCCATGTCATCAAAACAATAATAAAAAATGCCACATGAGTGACTTAACGATCGAAATTAACAGAAGGACTAACGAAGTGCATTTCTTAAAGTTTAAGGATCAAAAAAGTGAAAAAAATTATTGAGGGACCAAAAAGTGCAACTCACTAAAGTTGAGAGACCAAATTTAACATTTAACCTTAAATGATTTCATAAAATGTCCTGATATTTAAAATGCAAGTACATCCTAGTTTTCATTTTTCTCAAAAATAATACTATTGTTTTTCCTATTTTTTAAATACTCCATCCCTTCAACAATCAATACTTAAATAAGTCTTTCTTATTTAATATTCTCTATCCCAACATAATTGTCACTTCTTTATTTTATCCTTAAATTAAGGATTTGGTTACAATTTATATGTTTATTTATATTACTCTTAAAAAAATAGTAAAAGAAAGAGAAAAACTCTTTATGATAGAGGAATCTATTAATGTAAATATGTAAAGATAGGGTTCAAGTAGGAAAAAAAAACTATTTATCTACCTTAAAAAAAATAAATAACAATTAATTTAAGATAAATTCAAAGTTAAAAAATAGACAATTATTTTGAGATGAATACTCCTATGTTTTAATTATCTTTTTACAATAATGATAAAATAGAAATAATTGCATTAAAAAATATTTAAACACCTTAAATTAAGATTTAAGTTTCATTTGTTAGTGTTAGGTTTTAGTTATAGTTGTACATTTATTAGCCTTTTAATATAAAAAATATAAAATATTATTAATATATTTAATGATTATTTAATTAATGTTTTATCTATTTTTAGGATAATAAAAAATAAAAAAAATCGAAAACTAAAACATTAAGATTCACTACCAAACAAAACCTTAGATTCTTGAAGAAGTGGAATCTTGAGTTACCTACGTCAATTTTAATAGAATAATGATAAATAACATCAAATTTTAATTTTAAATTTTGAAACTATTGGCATGATATAAGTTATATTATTTAAAATATTAAAAAGTAAATTTTATATTTTTTAATAATAATTTTTTTTTAATTTATAATATTATATATATCAATTAATTTAATAATATAATTTATATCATTAAAGTTTCATTTTCCTTGTCATTACTCATTCTAATTACTATATTAAAAGCTATGTTATTACAATCATATTCAGACTAGGGACTCTGCTAAACATCAACCACCCAAGCGGTTAATTACTCAAAAATTGGACAAACCACACAAAATATAGAATAGGTATTAGCTTTCAAATGACTTCAGTACTGTTTACCGTTAGTACACTATGTACTTTCGCCGGTTTAAATTTGTTTATCTAGACGTTTCCATTAAATTTTAAATTAATAATTCTATCTTTTATGAAAATTAAATAATATGTTTATATATCAAATAAACAAAAATTTCTTAAACTTTTTAATTTAAATGAAACTACCCAACAATAAAATGAAATTATAGAAGAAATTAAAGTATGGAAAAGAGAGAAGGAAAACTAAAAAAAAAGCATATTGAAATATTATGTTTTTTTTTTTTACTAAGCTCTCAATATCTGGAAGTCGCATTAAATTTCGATTAATCTAAAATTAAGTTTGATCAGATCTCATAAAGGAAAATTTTTTTTAAAGCTTATCTTTTCGTTCATAAAATTCAAACTCAAGAATTTATTTAAAGAAAATCAAATTTATTTTACTCAAACTAATAAATCATTGGTCATATAAAAGCTCAAGTAACCCATTGACCAAGAAATTCTAGATCTACAATAATAATAATAACATAATATTGAATTTACAATTTATTGCCATAATTACATTGTGAAAATTGGGTGCATAAACTGATTGGATGCTAGATTTCCCGTAATATTATTACTTTTTATATTTAACTTATATACTTTTTTGATATATTTTTTATATAAAATTTTTTCACTCAATACATCTCCTAACGTGTAAGCCTTGTCACTCAACTTAATACACTTCTTATATGCAAGCTCAATATGGACGTCAAATCCTATCACATGAGTTAATATGCCTTTATATGGAGGCCTGGTATAAATTTTGGGTCTTGTTAAGTGGTAGATGTGAAAATTTTCCACTCAATATGCCACTCACATGCGAGTTTGGTATCCTATCATGTGGTTTAATACGTCCCTCACATGTAGGCCTTATATGAATTTTAAGTTTTATTAAGTAGGCTAATAATAGGCCTTCTAGGAGCAAGGCTTGGGGCTCTAGGCTCTAACACCATATAGAAGAAATTAAAGTATGGAAAAATGAGAAGATTGGCATGTGAAATTTAATATAATGCTTGTATCTAAAGACCGTTTGGTATAGTGGTTAAATTTGACAGATAGTGAGTGGTGGGTGGCGGATAACAAATAGTGATAGCAGATGGTGGATGACAAATAGCAGAAAATGAGTAACAGATAGTATAAAGTGAGTAATGGATATTAAATAGCGAATTTGATATATATATATAACTATTTTGTTATACAATAATTAGTAGTTGTTGTTCAATATTAAATGATTAATAAAAACAAGTTTAAAAATAATTAAATGTATTTTTTAAAAATATTTTTATTTTTTATTATTAAAATTATTAATTTTATAAAAATAACA